TAATACATGCGCATCAGAAATAGGAGTGGTCATTAATTTTTTTTATGCTAACCTTTAGAAGCTGCAAATGAAAAAATTTAATAATAATAATAAACAATAATATTATTGATAATAATTGATAAATAATAATACACTAATTATATTTGGTAAAAGTAGTAACTAAGATTTTGGACTCATTCTGTTGGAAACCGTGGATTTCAATATCGCAAAAATCTAAAATATTATATGAGAGTAGAAAATATGAGTAAGAAATATATTCTATGAACTCTTTGCAATACAATGTTTATACCCTAAACTTTTTGTTTCCAAAAAGTAAACTTATGTTTAGATTGTAAATCTTCTATATATTGTTTACACACGGTATCAGCTCCTCATTTAGTTGATCTCACTGTTGTGCCACCACTAACTAGTAATTAGATTTGTTTCTAAACCAGGTCAACAGCTCTTTATTAGACCGATTATTGTAAATCATGTATTTTGTTTATGTATACTGCTTGCTACATAAGGAGGCTACTCATATTAACAGTAGTGTGTTAAACCAGCAGAGTTCAATCACGAGGCAGTTCGACCACAAAAAGGGATTTCGCTACTTCAGTTCTTCTCTAGCAAGTTTATTGTATTATAGCTTCTCTTGATAAACGATTTACTATATTCCTGTATTATCCCACATATTAATGTCTATGTTAAGCGAATCTCCCAGAAATCAATAAACGTCTCCTAAAATAATAAAGAAAAATTTAAATCTTTCACGACAATTGGTATAAATCTGAATTATTTTCAAGAAATGATGAAGAGAATTAAAATTTTTAATTCGAAAAAAAAATGAAATATGAAGGATTTTAAGCTGAAGCATGTAAAGTAAAATAAACATTTTGAAAGAAAAAAATTAGAAAAAGCTTTTAGGAAAATTTGAAATATTTTAAGAATTCTAGAAACTTAAGATTTGAGTTTGAGATTATTGCAAATTTAAGATCATTTAAATTCAGAAAGATTGAATAGTTCAAAATAATTAAAAATCTTTAAATTTTTAAATTAAAAAATTTACTAACCATAAAAAGAATTTCTAAAAATCAGAAAATGAAATCAAGAAATTACAAACTTGTTTTAGAGCTTCAAAACTTTATGGTTCAAATAGCCAGTGAATCTTCCCGAGTTTTCAGAAGCTACGTATTTCCTTTTCCACATAGTGCAACTGAATTCAAAGTGAGCAAGTTAAAATCTGATTTTATGACGGCCACAAAAATTTCTTTGCACAAGTGTTTTTTGACTGTATCATAACCACTGGAATATACGACAATGAAATTGCTGCAAAATCCTCAAATTGATTACTTCCTTTTCTCAAATTTCGAATATGTGTTGAAATGAGAAGTTAATTTTATTAGCTTCAGAATATGTGAAATTTAACCTGTTAGAAGTTCGATGTAAAATTGAGAAGTATTTGATAAACTTAAAACTTCAATTCACATGAAAACTCCACTGACATTGTGATCCAAGCTATCCTGGAAGAAAAGATTATTTTCTGTATTGTTGGCATAGAAGCCTTTGCTGGTGAATGAATTCGTCAAGGTATTTTTACTTAGGTAAAAAAATGTAATGCAGCTTACTGCACAATGTTCTGAAAACAATGCCTTTTGTTAAGTAATTGTTTCTTTTTTGTAGTCCTTTTTATCGTTATATAAATATGGATGGGTTTTTTTTAAAAAAGAAATCAAGTTTTTTTTTTTTCAAAGTTTATGAACTTTGCAAAAAAAGACACTGTATCATATCGAAATTCATTATTTTGTAAAGTTTTATTGATGTGTAAAAGTGATTTAAAGTTTAGGAGACTTTTAACAAATAATCCATCTGTTCTGATATTTTTTGATAAGACTGTTTTTGCTTCTAATTTTCCTTCCATTACCGTCTTATCATCCATTTTTGCTGCTTATTGTGGTTCCATTACTTCTTACTTCATTATTCACTTTTGAGATCTTCATTTATTGTTTAATTTTAAACAGTTTCTACTAGTCGAAAGGCATGCAAAATATTTTACTCAACCCAAAATATACGGATGGCTTTACTTTGTATACAATGTGAATGTAATATTAGCTAGTGATAATGATTTTCAACTTATGCAATATAATATTGAAAGTACGAAAAGTTCTTGAAAGTACAACTAATTCACCAAGTGAGATAATATCTCATGAGAATATAAAAAATTTGATGCATGATAATGTCTCACTATAAAAGAGGCATTTATTCAGCAACGATGACTAACTGAAAACTGGGTTTTTTATTGGTTCAGGTGAAAGCCGAAACAGTCAAGGAAGTATTTTTTCCTTTAGGATGCTTATTACAAATTTGATATGATATTTGCCATGTACATTTGAAAGTCATTAACTTTCAGTTGAATATTCTATCCTTAGCGATGCACTGTCACGTAGGAAATAGGACTATCATTTATGAGCTTTTGCAAGATGTGGATATTTGTGTAACAAAGCAAGGTATGCCAGTTATAGGAAAAAATAATCTGTGACCTAGTGGGAAGAACTATAGGAAGTAAGCGTAAAGTCTGACGACAGCTAGCTTTCCATGTTCCTTTCTAATCTTAACTTTGTACAATCAAAAGTTGTTGGAATTTTTACTCAAATTCTACATAGTACAATGAAATAATAATATTCAATTGCGCTGATTTAACCGCATATTTGTAAGCCGTAATCTTGCTCTGCACATGATGACATACTGTTCCATGCCAGACAGATCATATATAAGCGTCTAGAAATGGGAAATGTCGTGTTCACAACTCTAATCTCTTGCAAGTCATCGAGAAAGTAATGGGCTATGAAATAAAAGAACCAATAAAGGGATTAGGAAGAGAACAAAAGAACCAAAGGGAAAACAAAAAATAAGGTATAAAAATAAATTAAAAAAATGAAAGGAAAAAGGTCATGATTGCTATTAGTGTTCGAGTATTTCAAAACAAGAAAAAATCCTTTCGTAACTCTCCATTTCATCACTTCTTGAAGGCGTACAAAATTATGAATAAAGCATGAAACATTAAAGTATAAGCAATAAATCAATCATAATGTTTAATAACTCAATATACGCTAAATTATGCATTTATATATATATATATATATGTATATTTAGTATGCGTCAAAGGTTTTCATCGTAATGCTTCCACAGGATTAGATGTGTTTATTCTTTTTGAAAATAAATATTTCACTAAAAAAAGGACTGTGATCATTTAGTCACATTTGACCGATATTTTCCATACTTAGATAATTTGCGGTGGTGCCGCAGTTTAAAAAACTTTTGATTGCTTGATATGAAAGGCGAGGTCCTTAACATTAATTTCTTGACACGCCAGCCTATTTGCACTAATGAAATGAGTAGAAATGTATCAGTTTTTACTTAATTTAGGATTATATCAAAATTTGCAGTAATTTGACGTACTCAATTCCTGAAATTTCGTTGTAGGCTGGACTTGGTTCGATGATCATCAAAACTACTTAGCAAGCATTTTAAATTTAAATTCAGTAACTAGCTGAAGAGCTCCTCATTTTAAAAGCAAAGGAATATGAGAAGAATTTAGCGGGGGAGTTCATGAGAACCCTTCATAGTCCTATGTCTCTGTTATTGATGGTTTTTTTTTTTTTTTTGCCCTGTATGAGGAGAAAGGATTAGGTGATGTGGATTTATAAAGGAGAAAGGGTGTTGTAGTTATGCTCGAGGAAGAATTCTGGCATTTGTGTTTTCCGTTCCCACCCAGCCAAACTATCATTCCCAATTATTTGTGACCAAACAAGAATCACAGTTCACGTCTCAAGGCATACCAGGCCTTTCATTCCCTGCGGCATGCAACAGAAAAAGTGCAACACATCATCTAGGTGTGGGGATATTGCCACGATTTCGTCTGGGTTGCGGAGCATATGAGTGGGTTGGTTGTTTATGGAGGGATGAGGGGGTACACAGTGGGACGGAGTATTGATGCGGAATTATTGGATTAATTATGAAGAAGCATAAGGAACAGGTGAGGGTGGCAGAAGGCACTGTTGTATGATTAAAGAAATATTTTCTAAAAAGCAAAAGACTATGATTTCCGCAATTTCGGCTGAGATCTTCCGTGGGAGTGTTAGACAGGAATTTCTGGGTTCTCATGTTGAGGATGATTCGTTAGCAGAAATCATGTACAGATATTTTTTGCCGGGGTCATGCAACTCTGATAGTAGGATTTTGACAAATAAATAGAAGCGAAAGAGATGATTACAAAGACAGAGGTTAAAGGATAATAGGAAATGAAGATAGAAAAGGAACTGATACTTTACCTCCACTGCTTGATCTCATATGCAACCCACTCATATGCTCCGCAACCCAGACGAAATCGTGGCAATATCCCCACACCTAAATGATGTGTTGCATTTCTGTTGCATGCCGCAGGGAATGAAAGGCCTGGTATGCCTTGAGACGTGAACTGTGATTCTTGGTTGATCACAAATAATTGGGAATGATAGTTTGGCTGGGTGGGAACGGAAAACACAAATGCCAGAATTCTTCCTCGAGCATACCTACAACACCCTTTCTCCTTTATAAATCCACATCACCTAATCCTTTCTCCTCATACAGTGCAAAAAAAAAAAAACCATCAGTAACAGAGAGTTGGTTTGAGAAGGTTTCCAGTGCGAAGTTTCTGACTTTTATTGGTGAGACATTGTTTCGTGTGATTAAATAATGAGGAAATGGGATTTAAGCTGAGCTTGAATTGCCAGACAACTCAGGATGAAAAGATTTTTCCATTGGTCAGGACAAATTTAGTTATTAGAGGAAAAGAGGCAAAAGAAATTTACGCTATACAGGTCATTTGGGTTTTAAGGATGCATCTCCTGTAGAATGGAAATTTTTAGGACCAGATTTGTCAGGAGGAAAAGTGCTGTTGTTAATTTATCGTTTCAGAATCGGAAATGAATCTTGAATTAGTTGTAATGGACATAACGTGAAAGAAGCAAGTAAAGCGAGTCGAGATGGCTTTATTTCGGTTTTCATTGCTATTTCTTCGACGTGCGTTAAATGTGCAAATTTCGGGTGCACAATGGCAAAAGATTAGATTGAAAAATATAATGAAGAAGCGTTTCTACTCAACTGAAGTAGCTCCTAATGCGAGTGCATGTGCCTTGGATTTGCTGATTACAAATCTCACTCAGGAAAGCAGCGTCAAAGAAGCTGAAATCAATACAGTTACGAGTGTTGAAGGTCTCAGAAAGGTCGTTTTACGGTTTCTATTACTCGTTAATCTATATTTTCTGTGATCATCTTTTGAAACTTTTTGTTCGAAGTAACTCGTAATGCGAGTGCATATGCCTTAAATTTGTTGCTTAAAATCTCACTCAGGAAAGTACTTGACTTCTATTATGTTTGACATGTAGCAGACAGATCCATTTTTTCGTAATAGAAGTAATAGTTTTAGGTGTCGAGTCCTTGCTCGTTTGTCAATAAACTTTATGCTTCGTATACTGTGGCAAAAGTTGTCTTTTTCTTAAGTCCCCCACTATATTTGAGTATTTTCTGTGATGAGTCAGTAATTTGTAATGCATTCAATTCCCACCATTCTCAACATAAATTGGAGTTTTAGGTTTGCGCGAAGTTAGAAGGCTCAATCAGTAGTGAAATTTCTGTAAAAATTTTGACGCGTTTTGCTGAACTTGCTAATGAAAGTGTTAGTATTCAGAAAGCGGCAGCATATCTGAAGAAGTAAGTTAGCTAGTCAGTTTAAAAATATGTCCTAGCTAGTAATAGATTGACATTAGTTTATTCAGTTTAATCATTTATATTTCACTCATGTATTTAGTCGAAAGAACTAGAATAATAATGGCGTTTACTGGAACTCTGAAATATAATTCTCAAGTTACTACAAGATAGTAAGAGAATGTACGGACATGTGGCATTTTACTTTATATATTGTTACGTACCTCTATTTCACTCGTTAATATTTTTGAGAGGACTGTTAGCTGAAATGAATAGATCATTAAAAAACAGTAAACTGAACATGAACTCGACGCTCGAGACTATGTGCGCATTAGTTATTCTCGAACTTACTGATGAATCCCTCTTTGAAACATTGGTTGATGTATTAAGACAACAGTTTTCTACCGATGTATTCTCTGTCCCGGTATCACCACTAGTCCGTTTAGCTGCTTTAGTGAGTAGCAAAAAAATCCGCCTACCCGAGGATTTATTCTATCAAGTGAGAGAATGGTTACAGCTGAAAGCAAGGTTTGTGTCATTTTCCTATTCAGTTGAATTTTTTTTTTTTGCTATAAAATGTATTCTTTAAACAGTGATTAATCTAGAATTTCCATTAATACTAACAATATATTAGGTTACATTTTTTCACTAACTTGTCACGATCTCAGTAATTTCAGTTTCAGTTTGTTTTATCTCCTGCTATTCGCCATGAAGTAGACGGAGGATATTCGGTAATATTGATAGCATATTACGTAATTAAGTCTTAAAAGATTCAGTGTGTGCACCACTTCCGTTGGCATGACGATTGCTTTCTTGAAAAAGGAAAAATATTTTAGTGAAATCACGCAGCCAAAAGATATTGTTTCCGTGATTGTATGTTGGAATAAAAGCGATAGTTGGTTCAACATATTTATTGAAAAAGCAAAAAGTTGTGTATCTTCGATGTCTTCTAATGAACTCATTGGCATGATGTCAAGTTTGGCAAACAGCTCAAGTCGACCGCCTCATGTTTTGCGTCTTATCTGCGATACTTTCGAACAAAAGAAGAAGGGCTTAACAGTCAGTATTTCATTTAAATATTACTTGTGCTTTACAAGATAGTGTAGCTGTCTATCACTTTTTGATCAATATTCATTAATGCTTTATCAAAGGTTTTCTCGATGTGGCAATTGTTTATAGTCAGATGTGATAAGACGGTCATCTTTTTCAGGTTGACAAGCTGTTGCTGTTGGCACAATCAGCTGCAAAATTACGATTCATGGATAATAGACTTCGACAAATTATAGCTGACGACACTTTTGCCAATATTAGTCGTTTCACCAAGTGGTCGCAGATTAATACGATTGTTAATTCGATGACGAAATTGCATATTGGTAACCTTCGGACATGGAATGCTATTGCTGCATGGATCAATAATAATCAGATGTTAGTTTTAAACCCATGGGCAATTTAAAATTATCAGTGTAATTTTCTATGTTATTACTGTTATCATTATCGCTAGTCGTTATCATCAGCACTCTAGCTTCTTTCTTTTATTTTCGTTTCCATCGTTATAGTTGTTATTGTCATTGGCACTGCCATATTATCTTTATTGATCTTACGAATGTTTTTTTTATCTGGCTGTGCTTTTTCTAATCTGGAGATACTTCATATCATTTAAAGAAAGATTAGTTTTAGTAAGGGTGCTAATATTTTTTTTTACTCTGATTGCTGTTTTATTAGGAATGCTGCTCTTGACGAATTATCATACGCTGTGCATTGGTGTGCAATAGCTGGCAAAGGTGATTTAATTCAAGAAGCCAGTGTATTTCTATGCGAAAAGTTAACTTCTTCAAAGATTGACTCACCCAAGACATGGCTTAGTGCAGTCTATGCTTTAGCAACATGCGACAGACTATCACCAGAATTGGCTCAAACTGTCTTACAACCGACATTCGTCGCAAACATCTTAGGAGGGTTCGAGAAATTTCCTTTTACTGCAGAGTTTTTTTAATTTTCGAGTTTTTTTTTAATAATTTTAATTTTCGAGGTGCTCTATTACTGAAACCAATACAAATCGGTATCTTTGTTATTGATAGTGTAAATCTTCAGACTGAGTGGTTTTCGAAAGCTAATGGTTGTAACAACTATTGCTCAAATGCAGTATTTCTTGAAAGGAACATTAAATAAAGCCTATCAAGGACCCTCAGTAGATATTTTGGATCTTATGCAGTTTCCATCAACAACTTTGGTATGTTTTGAAACATTTCCTGTTAGATTTATAGTTTCTCTATATCTTATGTAAGTCGTATATGTAATATGTTAAAGACTTTTTCAAAAGAAATCAAAAATTACGAAGGAATTTATTTTATCCAGATATTTGTCTTGAGATTTTTCGAAAATGTCCCTCTGATTATTGCCCAACATTTCAGAATGATATGGCTTTCAAATTGCGTTACGGGAAGAATGAGGAAGGGAATGTCCGGTATTTTCATTCATTATTGCATAAATTGGTTCCATTGAATTCACATGCATTTCCGCCAGCTCTTACTGAGGATGGGATTTTTGTTAATGCAGTCATCAAGCTAGACGTTAAAGGAGATCGTTTTGTTCCATTGAGCCATTTTGAGGAAACGAAGGCACCTCGTTTGGCTGTAATTTATCTCTCCTGGAAGGATCGAACTTTGCCAGTAAGTATCCATTTCTGTTAACTATTTATTATTTATTTATTTTTTTCATTAGAGTTTAAATACTCTTTCATTTCTACTAAGCCACACTTGGCTTTCGTTTTTTATTGACCATTACCACTTTCAGTATATCCTGTAATTACAGTGTACTGATGACGATAAGAGCACTCTGATGGGACCACCATTGCTAAATATACGTTTGTTGAAGGCGAGAGGGTTTATTCCTGTTTTATTTTCTCAAGAGGATTTCGATTCTAACTCATCGTTGAAGCACCAATTTACTCGCATTAAAACAAAGCTTGAAGAGGCATCAGATGACAGAGGAAATAGATAATGGTTACTTATTGTTCCAGAATCACATCTGTTAAACATTGACGTATTCCATCTGCCATTCAGAAATTTAGTTCAAGATGACCATGATGTAATTGTAATAATTTCCTTTGCTGTTATCGACGAATATAATTTAGAACATCTTATTAACAATAAATTGATTGTTATCATCGTCCTGGTAGAGCGAGTGCTCTTCAAGGTTACTCATTGCCTTAGTATCTTTGTTGTTCAACAAGTTTTAGTTGAAATGCTCGTAGTGCTTTAAGAGTGGCTGATAAAGTTTTTGAGAGGTGAAAAATTTCTCGTTTTTCAATTTAGTTTAAAAGAAGTAGTATTCTATTTTCAGTTGTATCTGTTCAGCTTATGGGTAGATATGGGTAGTTTCTTTTTGAGAGTTTATGATAAATAATTATTTTTCTTGGAAAATGAAAAATCATTGAGGGTGAGGATAATTCATCTGGAATCTGTTCATAAGCAGTTACCACTGTTCTGTATGTGTGAATGGTTTAATTTCCAATAAGTTATTTGCTTTTTACATCGTTTCAGAACCCGCTTTCTCATTGTTTATTCATGGAATTCCATTGTTTGGGTTTATATGCGGAAGTGTTGGTCCAAAAGAGGAATGTTGGACATGGAATTTATACAATATTTACGATGTGTGGAACATTGCAGGGCTTGTTATAGAAATGCTATATTACAAAACTGATTCAAAGAAGGTGGTCCAGTTATCGCTACAGTATAGCACTGAGTGTCAAAGAGCAGTGTTTTTTTTTTTTTTTTTTTGGCATCAACATTGCATTTTTTGGGTTTCTCAAGTGTGCATCACATCACTGATGTTATTTTTGTTTCAAGAGGTCCTCCTCAAAGAGTTCGAACTCCTGGGAGTTGATAGAATATTACAAGTAAAGACACTTGGATTAAATAAATAAAGAAAGTTCGAACAGTTGCACACATTTTCTCACGTCTTGTATTCCCATCAAAAGAGATTCCAAAACATTTCGTTTTTTGAGCGACAAATGGTTTACTTATTTCAACCAGTAATCAAGTGACGAACTGATGCGTATTGATATTTAATTCTAAATTTCAGCTAGGATGCAATTTTACAATTTTTAACGAAAAAAAAGAAAAAAAAAGGTATTTTTAAAAAACTGATGCACAGTTCATCCTACATAGATTTTCAGTTTCATGACATATTTAAAAATTAAGAGTATTTTAATGCTGAAATTTTAAATTGTTTATAGTAAATATTTTTGCTAAATTATGTTCTCAATTTTTTGAGAAAGCATTGGGAGTTGGAATGTTAATATTCTTGTAATAATTAAAAATGGGCCAGAGAGCAGTTTTCGTACAATCAGAAGAAATCAATATTTTTTAAATAGATATTTTGGCTGAGAAATATATAAACACTGGTTTACAGATGATGGGCGAAAGATTTTCAAATCTTGATTTATGATTGTATAAAAATAGTTCGGTATTTCAAGCAAAATAGTTCCAGACATCTGTTTTCTTGAACATTTGGAAATACAACAGAATTCCGAGTTTTTTATCAAGTTTTTGGGATATTCTTCCTTAACTTTTAATAGTTAGTATTTGTTATCAGGTTAATCAGTAAATTATCACCGTTTCGGATTTGCTAGTAGGTCAAAAAAATGATTTTGTGAAGTGTTTGCTGGTTTTGAATATTTCATACTGGTTGATCAGCGGAATCTCGTTCAACATAGCATTTACCAAACTAATAATGATGAACGTCGAATGTACTATGCATTTATAAAAAGTCTAGTACCGAATCCGATGTTTTCATTTAATCGAAGTACTGTTTATGCTATCAATGATTCATTTTGGATTATTTATCCCTGGCCGCAGGTAATGCAACAGTCTCTTTACAATTGTTCGAGGTTTTCTGATTCAACTTACATGCGGCGATGACTTTCCTCGGATTTTATTTTATGGAAGTTTTTCATTTATGAACTGAAGGAACCTGAAATTTCGAATTGGATAGAGAAATTGCATGGTTTATTGGATTTCACAAGTTCCACTTATTTCTTACGTAATCCTACGAGATTAGACTTAAGTTCTTTGCCTATCCCATTTACCATAGGTTTAACTTCTTCCATCTCATACCGTCTTCCCCTTTGTTCAGATTCCACTTCTACAGTATTATCTTTTTCAATAGGATCACAGTCTCCACATACGCTAAGATTTGTTCACATTTTTTAGCAAGAAATAAGCATGAATTTCTGGTAGTAAATAAAAATACAGTGTCTTTTTTCTTTTCTAAAGAGAAAATGGAGAACTGAAGTTTGAGCACCAATATGTTTACCAAATGAAATAAATTCACTATTATTTTTAGAAATGTTCGTTCTAGCTATAAAATTTTAGCACTTTATTTTTACTCGTACTTCGCTTCAGTACTTTTAAGATTACACAGTTTATAAAGACTATTTTATCAAATCAGAAATCATTGTCTTACAGAATCATAATTTTTTCTATGAAGCAATAATTGATATAATCTGGTCATACGATACATTTTGTTCATTGTTATTTTGGAAGGCCAATCATATCAAAAGAGAATAAAAGAGAAAAGGAAAGAGTTTGCAGGATATTATGAAAAGGGCTTACACAAATATTTTTGCTGTTTGGTATTGCCATCGTTGTTGATAGCTGTAAAGAACAAATAAATATTGATGCCATCAGCCTTTACCGTAGAGTGAAATCAACTGGGAATTTTTAAAACGAAGTGAAATAAAATGTTTCAAAGAAAGTTTCTTTCAATGAACAGGACAAACATTTTAATCTTGTAAAGATGACTTAATCACCGAAGTAGCTTTATTGTTCTGATGGAGTAATTTGGTGGTTTAAATTTTGAACTTTCTTATTCCAAAATGAAGAACATTCGGTTTTTAGTTATTTCACTGCCAAAGCCATAAACTAATTATGATTCAATAATTCAGACAAATAGCACTTACATCTCATAGTTCCATTAATGGTAAAATATGAGATTACAACAATATATCTAAATGTACTAGTCTCAAAACATTAAATCAGCCTATAAAAATGAATACATAAACTGATTGCTTTATTTTGAATTCCATTCAAACAACAAATATGATTTTATTATAAAAAGTAAATAAGCAAGTTTAATAAGAAAAAGAAAAAAAAAAACATTTCTGGTTAAACATAGCTGGTTGATTCATTCTAGATTAAAAAGATCAGATGGTAAATAAGAAATCTGATGACTACCAACTTTATGGCGTAGATCCATAGTAATTAAAGACTGATCGATTTGAAATGCTCTCCGTACTATTTTCCTACTAATTATTTAAAATAATTTTTTTGAAGCTGTAAGATTTTTCCTGGAACTCCATACTTATTATTGTCTGTCGAAAAATTATGTACTAGGAATTTCAAGTAAACTTTAAAACTTTTAACTCTGATATGAACTGTCAGATTCATTTTTCGGGATTGTCAAATTTCAAAAATTCTAGTAATTATGAAAAGTAACACAACTGTTTTTTCAGATTTTGTCAAAGCTTTTCACTTACATGGAAATTTTCTTTTGAAGAGTGCAATTCGAGATGTAATATTACAATTGATGTCAAATATTTTTTGAATTCAATATTGCTTGAAAATGAATCTAAAAGTGAGGTCCATTTCAAGGCTACATCGAACCAAAAAAAAAAAAAATTAAAGTAAAATAAATAAACAGATACATCTGATAAAAGAATGATTTAAATTTTGCGATTGAGGAATGAGAACCATACTGTTACTAAAACGTCAGTGATATGTGACAATCAAAAAATATACTGGAAGATCCATCCTTATAAGCTAATTTAAGTTTAGCAGCAGTTAGTTGCATGATAGTTTAACTTCATACAATGGGGAAAGTATTGAAATATTAAGAAAACCATCAAGAAATAGAGTTTCATTTAAATAGAGTTTATCATAAACTAAACAGAATTTCGTTTAAAATTCAAATTAGAATATTTTTACTGAAGAAAAATTGTAATGTCTAATGAAATACCATATTCTCTCCTTGATATTTAAACTTTTATTTCAATATAATCTCTCCTAAAGTTATGCTCTTAATTTAATTTGAATTAGTTATAATGCAAATGATATTAAAACTTGTAATGCTTTTACTACTTTTTCATTTTCCCACTTTTTTCATAAATAGAAATTCATTCCTGTCACTTTTTGGTAATACCAGACTTTGAAAGTTTTGTTTTCCCTTAAACCTTTCCAAATTTACCTCCACATAATTAAAAACACAAAAAAAGACATTGTCCCTTCATTTACAATGAGTGTAAAAATTTACAGTAAGTATGAAAACATTTTTTTCCTTTTTTTTTTGAATATAAAGGTGAATTTATAACAATAAGGATAAATGCAGTAAAAATAAAGAATAATTCTCAAAAATAGAATTTCAGAAAACAACTAGCATAACTAATAAGAAGAAAGTAGTGAACAAATGGAGTTGATCGACAGGAAATATGTAGAACACTAAATGAAATTGTTTTTTTTAACAATTTGCATACTGTAGCCATTTAGCGTATTACAAAAGCAACACTTGGCATTTGTGGATAATAAGGAATTCTGTCTAAGCAATTAATACTTACTTGTGTAATGTAATTATTTAATATCTACATTATAGGTGTTAAGTAATTAAATCAAATATTATGAGCTATAATCATTTGGCTGTCCCGTTATTTCTATAGTAAAACATATTGCTGATATCACAGCCACAACCTGATCAAAGATCGAATGAATTTCATGGCGAGGTTTTGAAGTATCAAAGGTTTTGTCCTCGACTAAAAGACTAAAGAGTAGGTCAATTCCTTCCTCTTCCTTCTTCTACTGTAATTATTTGCACTTATTATAGAAAATCAAAATCGATTTCCGTGTTCAGAAACGACGAAGTTTTCATATGTATGCCAAGATTCTAACATTTTAGTCATGTGACATATGTTGATGTTCTGCTTTTGTGTAAAGTTGTTAGGGAATGAAGTTTTTTACTACTTCAAGAAATATTTTGATATTCATTTTGATTGATCTTTTCTTCAAATGCTACCCATAAATTACTGGTGTTGATAAAACATTGAACAGATTTCTTTTTTATATTCAGTGAAAATCGATAACATGAGATGTTTGATGTTCTGTTTGTTCACTTAAAGGGCATAGAGAAAATAACCCGTTTCATATGAATTCGGGGAATGCAAATAGATTTTCTGTCCTGCTATCACGTCTTACATCACTATGCTATCGTTCCGTTGCCGTAATTAGTAAAAAGGGGCGGTCCAATCTTGGTTTATTTTATGATAAATAGGATCAGAAACATTGTATTTGATCATAATTCTACAGGGTGGCAGCCAAGGAAGATACGGGACTTGCAATAAATATCGCATTCTTCCTGATTTTTGTTTTCATTTCAATCTGGATAACAAATTTAGCAAAAGCTCACTCCCACATCTTTCCTACTACGGTTATGAAATATGCTACAGTACCTTGTTCTCCTTCAATGATTATTCTATCACATAGGATGGTTCAAATTTCAAATTTAAGCTATTAATCGCCTGAACTACGGTACTTTTTTTGATTTATTAGAAAAGCATTTATAAAGAAAGCATTGTTAAGTTGATTCATAAAAGATTTCTACCCAATAGACAAACTGTTTCATTGTTTTCAAGCAAATTTGCTACAACATTTTTACTCAAAAAAAAGTCCAAACAATTACTTTGGATTTCAAGGATTGGCATGAAAAAAATCTGTTTTAAACTGTATGCCACAACTTTTTCCATTTTTCTTTTATTAATTATAATTATCATTTCAACCGAGTTTGAAATGAATCTTAGATCTTGTGCCTTTCTGAAGTAATTTTGTAACGGCCTAATTGCTTGTTGAAATAGTTCTTTAGTGAAAAATAATAACATTACGATATGCATTTCCAACAGCGTTAATTTTTCCAGTCTATCAAGATAACTTTTTTTTCCTCTCTGTATTGCTTATGTTGTGTCGAAATCATATCAACGAAACCTTAAATACTGTTTCATTTTATCCATCATATTTTAACTGCGTAATAGAAACTATCAAGAAAAATTAAACACCAATTAACTGAAGTTGCAAAAATAAAAGAACTTAACATGCAATTCAAGTTAGATATGATAATATAACCGCAGCAAGATACTTCTCAATAATTTATAGAGACAGAAGTTAAAAGGCTTCGTTGAAGAAAAAGACAAAAGCAAATCTTACTTTTAATTTGTTTTCCTTTTTCTTCAAAGAAGCCGTCTATTTCACACGTGTAGAATTTTATTAAATTTTAAAAATGCTATCTTGGAGTAAGTGAAATCCTAAGCAATCACTTCGAGTTTACTTACCGACGAGTTTAGTAGTACAAATTTCAAAATTACGATATAATAATAACCAATAAAACATTCTAGATTCAGTAAGCATGTGATTAAGCATTTCTTGGCTGTGCATAGATTTTTTTTCCAATGGCTCTATTCAACAATTTCTGTTACACTTTTCGTGAATTTGTCCAATTTCAACAGCATAGTTGTAATTTACAACAATTAAAAGTTCGAAACAAAGTTCACTTTAAAAGGACTGGCTCTAGATTAGTGATGCAAGTTAACAAATTATGTTCTATAATATGACCATAAATTAGAAAAAAACCGCATTCATGCATTTTTGCAAATTATTGTAGTGAATCATAAAACGATTATTATTAAAATATAGGAACAATGGAAACTGGCTTGGTCAGATTATAGACATTTTCGTCTTATCCATTATTTTTGGAGTATTTTGTGATATCTCAGATCCGTTAATTTTAATTTTGCAGATAAAAATGAGCGCAGCTCAAAATTCTTCTAGTCGTAAACCAACCACACGGCCAAAACTTGGCATTTTCGTTTATTTACTAGCATTTATGGCTGTAATTGGTGGTTTTTTATTCGGCTATGATACCGGTATTGTTTCAAGTACGATGCTTTATGTGGAACATAATGTTGGTATGAGGCCAATGAGCACACTTTGGAAGGAACTAATCGTCAGTATAACACCAGGTATTTTATTTCTTCTTATTCTCATTTTAAATTACTACTGTAACATCATCTATTGTTCATTCCTCAAATTGACTGAATTAAACTTAAATCTATCAACAGAATATATTGAGAATTTTAGAAAGGTTAATCGTAAGACTAGATATCATGGAAAATTAACCTTGGCACCTCGACACTTCTTAACACCTAACGCTAAATATCATTTTAGTTTCGATGATATAAGTTACATGAAAAGTTTTGATATTTGTAATACTAGAATATTAGCCAAGATTATTTCAGGTACTGCTGCGATCGGTTCATTATTTGCTGGTCCAGCATCTGATCATTTCGGAAGAAAAAAAATTATCTTGTCTTCCAGTGTTGTATTTGTGATTGGTGCAGCTATTTGTGCATTAGCTCCAGAAAAAATAACGTTGCTTATTGGAAGATTTTTGCTCGGTTTTGCTATTGGTAACTTATTTTTGAATTTTTACTTGCGTAACTGAATTATTGGTACTTAGTGGATAACACTATTTTTTAGGATTTGCATCAATGATAGTACCAATTTATGTTGGTGAAGCATCTCCTCTACATATCCGTGGCATTCTACTGACTGGTTTTCAGCTAATGATCACTTTTGGCTTAATGGCTTCCAATCTTATCGCTGGTTTGCTTAATTCCTTTTGAAATTTTGGAATTTCTGATAGAAACATTCAGTATGAATATGTTGTCAAAATGATGTACTCTAATTTATCATTAAAAAAAGAAACAGCTAGTGTATGTTCATTTGAAGCTCTATTCTAAAAACGAAGTATTCCTTGAAGTTTGATAAAAAAGATTGCTTTAAAATTTATAATTAAGGTGGATTCTCATACATTGACCCAGTGAATATTGGTTGGCGTTTAATATTCGCATTTGCTGCTTTGCCAGGTATAATACAATTCATAGGCTTTTTGTTTCTGCCAGAGAGTCCCCGATGGTTATATAAAATGGAACAGAAAGAAGAAGCCTGCAAGGTTATTTTCTTCGAATTTTCCCGATATATATATATATCTTGCTTCTAAAAATTTTTCTTTTAAATTATCTTGGTTAAGGCATATTCAGATTAGTTTTCATTTTAAATATTTTTTAAAGAATTAGGTTAAAATTCTCCTGGCATCAAAATATCCCAATTGCTTTTCTCGACACTCAGGTCTTACTCTTATCAATATTTGTAATCACTGAACTATGTTGAAAAAGAACGAGTGTAGGTTTTGAGCAAAATCTATAATGGATATGAGGACTGGATAGCCTACGAAGTTTCTGAAAATGCGGAATCACTGGAAAGTGAAAAGAAAGCCAAGGAAGCCGTCGGTGGTACATTGTTTACTTATAAATTTAATTTATTTGAATTTCTGCTTAGAAATATTTCTTATTTATCAGCTATTCTTTTGCATAACTGTATTACTGATTTGGTGTCATACCCGCATCACTACCTATTTCATTATTAATCAGCTTAGAGATATTATTAGTCTTATTAATTCTGATTGATTCATATGAGTTGAAATTACAACATGTTAGTAGCATAGTGACGTCACTTACTAAGTTCTCTAACAAATTAAAATAAAAGAATTGTAGAGTCGATGTTGCTTGGACGAATATTAACGACACCACATGTTCGGAAAGCGCTTATTATTGGATGTTCTTTGCAAGCCTTTCAACAGCTTTCTGGAATTAACACCATTATGTTAGTTTTACATACTGAGTTTGCGGCTCAAAATTCGATATTTCGAAACGGTTGAATTTATAGTTATATTGAAATAATGACTTGCTAAAATGATCGTTTTACAAGGCAAAAAATCAAAATTATAGTCATTATTTTTGTAAATATAAACAAAAACAACTTAAGGTATTATACGGGTACGATAATTCAATCAGCTGGTATTCAGGATCCACATACAGCTATCTGGATTTCGGCTGGCATTTCAAGTAAGTAGTTATAACAGAAATAAACTGCATTAAAATGTATGTAGTATTTGTTAAGAAAATAATACTGTTTTGAACAAATATAAAAATATTGAACAAATATAAAAATAGTTTCACAACGGGTCCACAAAGTATATTTTAAATCTTTAAAACTAACTATTTCAGGCGTCAATTTTTTGGCCACATTTGTGCCAATGTATCTAATAGAACGTATTGGACGTCGGCTACTCTTGTTCATATCAATGACTGGCGTGATATTTGCATTATTTGCTATGGGAGCTGCTTTTCTATTAATAAACCTTGATTCACCGGCTTCGCTAGATCCAAAAAGCATTTCTGTCGACACTTCCGTGGATCATTATATGCAGTGTCAAGTGTTAAGGTTTTTTTCAAAAATTAAATTTAATGATAAATAATATTTTGAATTCCAGTATACTATAACAATAAAAGTAAAAATCTTTCAAGTTCTAAACTTCTCAAACATTCTATTGTAGTACAAAATCATTTAAATAATTTCAGTTTTAACTTGTTTCTTTCAAATAATAATAATTTGCAGTAACTGCGATCATTGTGTTACTGATGAAAAATGCGGTTTTTGTCAACCAAGTCTCGACTCACCTAAAGGGTCTTTTTTTAATTTTTATTTTTCTTGGCCCAATTAAAATTTAACTATAAACCTCAACATATTCTTTAATACAATTTTAATTTATCATTCTAAGGTTGTCCAAAAAATCAAGCAGCAATATATAAGTTTATCGACAATTTCGACCTTAAAATTAGTGCAAATTCATTGCAGCTACTGTTTACCGTATTCACGCAAATCTCCCGAGCGATCGCTAACTGGGCCATGCGAAAACAGTAACACAACAACGACCAAATGGGCAAATTCATTCTGTCCGTCAAAATATGCATTTATACCAATCGCTGTTATGGTAGTCTACCTGGCATTCTTTTCTATTGGTATACTTTTCTGTGAATTCCAAAACTCATAAAAGAAGAAAAAGTTGTTTTTTGAACCAAATGTCAGTAACAAAAATATAGATAAATGCTTTGAGTGATTCTGAGACATCAAGAGCTTATCTGGACATTTCGAATCAATCATAAATATACTTAATCATCATATTGTAATCATCTGGCATGTTCGGTTAAAAATGAATCTTATGAGTGCCCATTCATTTTAAATTATTTGAAAGGACATAATTCATTTTTTAAGAATTTGAATCTAAAGTTTGTAAAATCATTGAAAATATTTACGAAGATATTTGATATTTAGTTTAATATTTACGAAGATATTTGATATTTAGTGCAAACCTTGCATACCTGAATACGTGTAACCTTATTTCTTCTCTACTTCAAAAGACATTTAATTCTTCAGTGATGAAATGGCAGGCGATTTATGCTGAAATTTCATTTCAGGTTATGCTCCAATGCCTTGGGTATTGAATGCAGAGTTTTATCCACTTTGGGCACGAGGTACATGCTGTGCATTGTCAACATGCTTCAATTGGACATTTAACTTGATTATTTCTTTGACATTTTTATCCCTTACGCAAACTGCTACTAAATATGGTTAGTTGTTTCTTATTTGTTTCAATTCGAAAATTTTTGATGTTAATAGGAAATTTTGATTTTTCATATATTATTTGATAGATTTGGAGGATGGAATTTAAGTGCTGTATAAAAGTTGTAAAAAATCATGTTTTCACTAAATTTGGTTAAATTAAAATACATGAAAATTTAGCAAAATAAAGTGACATCATTTAACAAGTGCCATTTTAGGTGCATTTTTCATTTATGGTGGCATAACGTGCATCGCTCTTACCTTTTTCTACTTTGTCATACCTGAGACAAAGGGCTACAACATTGAAGAAATTGAATTACTGTTCATGTCTCGAGCTAAACAAAGGCAACAAATAATGCCAATGACTGATCAGCGATTTAATGAAAGAAAGCATCGCGACATGACAGCAGTTACCTGCAGCCAATCAGACGTATTTTGATTCCGTCAAGAATAGTTATTTTAAATTCTGTTCAGCTGTTGCTCTAGTCCGTCTTTAAGTTTCGTTATTGTTTAAATGCCCATCAGGAAATGAAATTTTTTGTGACAGGATTCAGCGTTTTTCATTTCTTACGCCTATAATACTGGCAGCGTTTGATCAGTTTATTTTTATTTTTGTTTAAGGGATTTCTTTTAATATTTTTATGTTGTGCCTTAATCAAAACACGTAAAGAACAATTCTATTTCACGTAAGTAAATAATAAATTTCGCATTCAGTTTTGTTCCATCAGTATTTTAAATAAGAAAGTCTTCATGAAGTTCTGTAAAATTATCGGATCCATTTTTTGTTGCAAATATTTCTAAAAAAGATTCAAATCTAAATTTTGACATATCTTATATGTAAAGTAACAAAGATGAAAGTAAATATAGGTATTTAGGAAGTGATAATGAAGTAAAATAAAAAAACGTGTCTGACCTAATCATTTTTTTGTGCTAATTTTATCATATATCTGCTAAAAAATAATTGTGATTGAACTTAATAAAAATAAACGATGTTCATATGCTTCCTTAACATTTTTGAAATTCAAGTTATCACATTATGAGATCACACTTATACTAAAAGGAGTAATGAGTAAGAATCATTTTTCAATTCGTTTTCTAACTTCAAATTCGTTTTTTCATCTATGGAATCCATTTTATCTTAGAATAAATGACTTTCTTCTTAAAAAATAAACAAAAGGAATTAAAATTTTCCTTGAGAATTGAAAAGCTAATCCTAATTGCAGAGAAATGATCAAATGCAGTTCTAAACTGAAATATAACAATGAAATAAGCTTACTTTTCTTAAATAGCTGAGTCATTAAGTGGTAATGAACGCAAATTGTTAAATTCATCAAATAAAACAGTTTCATTTCGCATCTCTCTAAAAATATCTTTTTAGGACTACTTATCATTATCTATTACATAAAGGATGAGTAGTGCTTGCAGTGCTAATCATAATTCAAAGATGGAATACTCTAACCTTCGAGTAATAGTAGACATTGCCTTTTTGCGTTTGTATACATGTGGTAGAATGCACAGAAATGTTTCTGATATTACAAGTTAACCATAGTATGTCATCAAATGTACTCATTAGAAACGTTCATGCAGTCTAGGTAACAAATATATGGCAATGTTTGATGGAAACAATATATCTACTAAACTTTCATTATCAAATTTAGCATTAACAAAGAATACAGTTACTATTATTTGAAAATTGAAAAATAGCGATCACAAATTGAAAAACTAATTTTTCCTTGGATTCCAAAACGGCAAAAACCTATTAGCATATTTCAGATTTACCATAAACTTTGTAGAACTTGAGGAGCTATAAACAAATTGCTGGCCGAATATATACGTGACAAAAATGAATGCATGACACTCAATAAATCACGAAAAAAACATCTATGTGTTCGAAATAATTTGTGAACTTGACATTTGGACACAGCACATTAAAATGCATCGCATATAGATTACAAATTCATTTCTAAACAACATGTAAAATATGTGAATTTAAGAATTCATTTTGATATGTACTAAATTATCTTGCAATATTTTACGAATAAGCACAAAAAATTCACTATCTAAAACATATTTTGTGCACAAATGAACCAACTTTCATTATAGAACTTATATAAAAAAACCAATTTCACGAATTCATGAAGTCAAGGATATAACTTAAATAAAATAAAAGTTTTGATCATTTATTAACATTTATGCAATATTTGAAACTTCATGACAAATATTTGAACATCCTTAATTTTGAAATGATGTTAAAAGTAATGCCATCATGAGGAAACAATTTATGCCTGCAAATAATCTGAAATAAAATAATACATATGCAGTAAACTAATAAAACACCGACATTTAAAATATAAAATCTCTACTCCATAACACCCGTTCGTAGATGTAATATAAAAATGAGACAGTGTATTTGCTAACCTTATTTTCATTTTTCGAAGCTCTCATTTCCATTAAATCTACAGCATAGATGTGCTTCCTCTGTTTTTGTTTTTGCGCACTGTGTTTATTTCCTGCTTTACATCGCATCTCCTATTGTAACAAATAGTATACTACAATTCCACCATGTAAAATTTTATTAAAACCTGAAATACCAACACTTTGTAGTATTAAAAACAAAGACGATTTAGTCATAATTATGACTCTCTCTCTGCAAATTTTTCAACCACATGAGTGGGACCTCAAGAAACTGTTGCACAGTTCTTGGTTGGAAAGAAATGTTCAACATAATCGTTCTCTTTTGGTCCCTATTTGAATTTCTCTACTCCAAAACCTCGACAATAGTCAGAATATTCGAAAAACATTGGCAGTGATTTCGAAGGTCCACATAAATTCATCTCTGTTTAGCATCGTGAGAAATGCTGTTATAACTATTTACTCCAAATAAAAATCATTACTACAAATGTCACAGATATTATAACGGATCTACTACAGAGAAAGTCGGTACCATTACTTGTAAGTAGACAATTTCATTCATCACTAACAAGACGAGAAAATCTCATTTTGAAGTCATAACTTTCAGATTCTCAAGATTGTGCACTCCAATTCAGTCTCGCTTAAAACGATTTTAATATAATCAACTTAAAACACGATGATAATACATTAATCTGAATAAAGGTGTATTTACAAAAGAAAATCTAAATTATATTTGCAGAAGACAAAATGGTGGAACAATTAAATAGCTTTTATGAATGCTCCTCCATTCGAATCAATTCTTTTATACCATCGTACATTTGTTTAACTGCTTCATACTGCGTTACTCCAAGGGTTTTCTAAAATTTTTACTGCAACAAAAAACATTTAAGAAAACAATACATTCTGCTTAGCTCATTAAATGTTTCGACATACTATGTTTATCTATTACATAGTTGGTCCTGAAATGAATGTCCAACGGCACTACCGGTCGTTTAAAGCTGCTTCAGTAGTAAAACGAACAACTTCCGGCATTGAGAAATAAAGAGAATAAAGAATGTGTATTTCACAAAGATAGTAAAGTGAAAAAAAGACCTTGTTTGATATAAGATAGTATTTATTCGGCACTTCAGACGAAGTAATGTCTACTGAAACAACGCGCAAATTCAGCTTTTCACATATTTCCTACAACAGAAGAATTGAAAATGGATTCCATATTTTTACTTTATACATGAAATAAAAACTCCAAGAGTTATTTCCATCAAGCCTCAAACAATAACAACGTAGTTGAGAATTAAGATTGTGAAACCACTTTAATTTTATCCTCATTCAAGACTTAAAAGTGGTTATTAAGAAATCCGGCAAACTGGAAGAAAGCATTTGGTTTGCAACTGCAAAATTTCCAGCGCAAAATCGCAAGAAAAAGCGAATTGCCTCGTATACAAGAAAAGTAGAAATTTACCATTAAGTCGGATTTTTTGCTCAATTTCGGCAAACATATTTGTACTGAAGCACTAACTGCAGAACCAAGATTGCTAGGATTTGATGTTAACCAGCCAAGTCGATTATCTTCAGCGAATGTTAGCTTTTGTTCCAATGCCTTGAAATTATTTACACTCACATGAACATTTGCAAATGCTTCAAATTTTCGAGAAGACGGTAAACGATTAATCTCTCTTTAATTTTTGCAGTGAGAGGTTCTTTCAGCAATTATAAATATCAACAGATATTAAAGACTATACTCTCCTAGTCACCATGCACTTATAATTACTCTCAGTTGAATGAAATTACCACTCAAATAATTACCACTCAAACCAACTTCTAGAATTTTATAAAAAAAATATTGGCAATGTGAATTATACTACTTTAAATTGAACTTCTCCACTTTCCCTTTCCTTTCTAGAAAATTAAAATCACCTTCAAACCTCGTATTAAACGAGCAAAAGCCTTGCCAATATCACTTCCTTCTTCAACAGAAATCATACTAACATGGTCTTCTTCGTTAACCCAAACCAAAAAAGATTTATCGCTGTTGTAGAAGATTCCACGTCCCTAAAACAAATAAGAAAGAAATAAAACACATATATTCTATTTCAGAATTTAGTAGAAACCTAACCATTGATTAATTAAAACAAATGGTGACACCGTTAAAGTATTTCAACATAATTGAATTCGACCTGAGTTGTGTTATTACGACACACGCCCCACACTAAATGATTTTACTGCACTAATGACAAAAAAGACAAGACATCACTTCCTATAAGACATTTCAAAAAGTAAATAGTGCTTTAGACAACAATAAAAAATGAAATCAGTACCTCTGGCCAAGCATTATAGGCATTGGCATGTTTCAATAAAGAATTATTGTTGTTAAATAGGAGCTGTTTACTGTAAAGATGATCCTTCGTTTTTTTCGGTATTCCATCCAGTGAATAATAGATCCCACGTAGTTCAGGTTCTTCGATTTGCAGCAATGCATTTTTCACCTTAAACCTATGAACAATGAAGCAACCAAAAACTTCATGAACAAGACAGTCGATCACATACTTCTGGGTTAGGGCTAGAAATAAAAAATCCAGAAGTGGAACCAACCTTCTGTTCTAAAATTATATAATCATCTGCACTCAAAAGTGGGTTGAACGGATAACCAGCAATGGAACGAGCACAACGAATCCTTTAAAAAAATTTTTCATCCCTTTCTTTAAATGTGCTACACTTCCGATTAAAACCAAATTTCAAAAATTACAGAATGTTTAAATAGAAATATTTCAGATTTGTGTGAAACCTTGAGAGACAAAAGCATAAAAAAGAGTTCGATTAGTTTTTGGAATCATTTCTCAGTTACGAAATCGGAAAAGAAAACTAACCTTACTGACTTAACATATTTCCCAGCAGGATCAAGAAGTGAGAGTTCGCCCAATCTTTCTTCGCCAAAATCAACTGCCGGTTGTTTATCTCCTGGTTTGAATGCATGGTAATCTTCTAGAATTTTATCGAAGAGAACAGCGAATTTCTGGTAAGATTCAGGATCCGCTGCATAAACACCAATCGCCAAGCCATGGTTGTGCAAACCTAAAGAACGATGAGACATGCATCACTTCACAGTTTGAAGTGTAAATACAAAGAGCTGCTATTATCGAAAAGGAAAATAGATGGTTTGTTCGCAGTTAAAAAAATATAAGGAAACATACCAGAACGAATTATGTCGTAAAGCGAAACACCCAGTTTCGTCTTTTTATTTTCCAATTTTTTTAGAATTGTAGGTGTCAGGTATTTCTTTAGCAGCGAATTACAATTCCTATCCTAAAAGTCCACTTTAAGCAGTATTAGAAACTTTAAAAATTAATGGAAAACTATCCTCGGATCCTAAAGATTATAATTACCTGTATGAGTATTAAAACAATAGCATTTTTCATCAAACTGCATTTGACAGTCCATATTAAGTCAATAAATGTTTTTTTTTTTTCTTGTAAAATGATCACCGTTCCAGAATGTGTAAAAAACAAACATTATAAATACCTTTTGAAGTTCTGCGTAAGCTGCATTGACCCTCTGAATAGCAAAGACATCTGTCTCATCAATCTGGTAATTCATTTTGTAAAGCTCCCCAGTCTAAAAAAAAAGTATAAACCTGATATAGATTAGCAATGTGTAGTATACTGAAAATGAACATAAATGAATGTGTAGAGGAGAGTTATTGTATGCTCAGAAACAACAGTAACGAATATTTCATATGAGTAAAATACACACTTAAGCAATTCACTGGTGGCTGTACCTGTAAAGAGGAAGTTTTTGTGAAAAGTCTTCATAACGCTCAACACTTTTTTTCAATTAAAGTGCAATAATCGACTTACATATGTCACAGCTAAAAAAGCTGCTGTTGCTCCGCCAGCTACAGCGAAAAGTTTCTTGAATGTCCCAGGCAGTGACATCGTTATTCAACACAAAAACTATTATGCTTTAAACCAAGAAGAACTACAAATAGGCTCCAATTTACTTCACGATCAAAAGACAATCCTGGAATTCCTAACCACTTCAACCATAGCAGAATCGGTTGAAAGTTAAAATGTCAAACTTGCTACTCTACTTCATTCATATTATATGTGTAATCACAACACCTTGTTATCAACAAGTAGAAAAAAATCTCCCTTCCTGCCAGTTAAGAATATATCAAATGTCATCACTGCTCGCCTCTCATGTTGAACTAAATCTGAGAGAGCAACAGAGACTATAAGGAACATAGCTGCAACAAAAGTCAGAGTACACAATGCCAAGGCTGATGACTTAATTTGCGATTCCAATTTAGCAAAAAAGAAAAGTCACACATGACAAATACATAAAATCCAATCACTTTAGTTGTGCAAAATTCATTCGTAATAGTATCTGGTAAATAACAAAAAAAAGGAATTTCGCTAACATTTGTGACGAACAACACCGTTATGCTTTGTTTTTATAGCAGTACCAAAAGTAACATTTTTATGAATTCAAAATAACTCGTATTTCTTGCTGTAAACTGAATCGTTTCATGGAGGAAATCCTCCACATATTTATATATTTGTTACTGATGTACACGTTTACTTAGAATTCAATTACTTCAACTTCGACTATGCAATATTCGTAACAGTATCCGACCACTTACTATCCGAATTATCTAAGCAGTACATGACATTTCTGTGTTTATTTTATATGTAATCCTAAAAAGAAAAGAATCTTGGAAATGCATATATTAAAACGGGAAATAGTTTGTAGACGAAAGGAAGAGAATAGAACAAACGAATATATCCCATATGCAATCCTCATTACTTAGCATTACTGAGATGGCACAAAGAATTATATATGGAAACGTAAATCGTAAACAAATCGTAAATTTTTGCTACGGCTAATAATTTCTCATAATTCTCGATGAAACTAATTCCCCTGAATCAATTGATTGTATAGCCATTAATTAATTGCTTATACGGATACCGTGCCATAAATCGTCCATCAATTAATAAGTACTTGATAAGCAACGTGAAGTTTATTTATCGTAATATAATGAAGATGTACTGAACTATGAATAATTTAAGCAATAAAAGAGATTCAAACAATGATGTTGCAAAGGAAAAAAAAAAGGCAGATGAACAAGAAAATATCACAGCTGGCAAATGAATGTTTCGGAAAACATAATCACCTGTATATACTCGAAAATTTTTAATCTCATAAATACTTGTTCATTTATTGAGTAATAGTGGCGTTACCAATTGTAAAGCATTTTGCTTGTACAGCAGCTGCAATTTTAAGCATGTTAAGGTGAAATTTTTTTCTTTTTAATAAATAAACATTAATGAGTTTATCACCATGAAAAAGATAATCTCGAAGAGGATTTAGATGAGGTAGAACTTTACTTTTGTATTGAAAAATAAACATAATTAAGACAACATCAGTCATATAAGACAAATATCAAATCTCAAGTTTTTGAGATTTTGAGATAGTTCCTTTCAAATGTAAGTCTCAAGTTTTTATTCCGAAAACTTTAACTCCTAGCATTTCATTTTTTTTTTTCTGGTTGATAACTTTTGCAGTAAAAAATGTCGTTGCTATTGAGATTAAAAAATAAATACACTTGTCATAATGCAATATCGTCGTACTTTTATCAACGAAGCAACGAAAGGAAACTTTATAAAACGATTCCCACATGAAATCGTAACATGCATTCAAAACATTTTAAAGTATCATATTCATAACAGTATTTCTGTTATAATTTTTAACGTTCCGTGATCTTTCGTGAAACATTCATCACCTGTTTCAATTCTTCAAGCTGTCGTCCTTGTTCTTCTACAGTGTTCAACAATCTATTCAGTGAATCAAAAATCTCATTAATGTCATCCTTCTGCTCCGCTTCTTGATTATCCTCAGCTAATGACATTGCTTGCATTCGAGGAAACCAATCACTTCTATGATCCTAAATAATATGATATCTTCGAATTGGAATACATTACATAAACATAAATAAAAAAAAAAAAGTTACTACGAGAAAATCAAGGTAGAAAGATCTCGGAACAATTAAGGATTTAAATATTACCGTTCAAAAATTTACCTTAATACAATTTGCAACATAGCTTTCGGGACCGGTGAATTCTGTCTCATCCTTTATTTGTAACCATACAATAAAATATAGATAATGATAAAGATTGTGCTCGTTTTTTCGGTGCTCCTCGAAAGTTATAATTTTATTGTCAAACCTGGATTAATTTGAATGATACTAGAAGTATAAAGAAATGATCCCGTTATTTGAACTTATGATGAACCTATCTTCCTTTTATTTGTTCCTTTCTTTCAACTTTCCGTTTGTTTTCTAGCTACAAATTTTAAATTATTATGGGAAACAAGAAAAGATGTTTAAATCTCATGGAATGATGAAAATAAACCTTTCTCTTCCAAGACCACAAATGAAACAATTATTTCTTAATTGGTTAACTTTTTCATTTCTTTCGGCTCTCAAATCACCAAATGTATCGATGATAACACCAAATACCAAATTCAGCACGATAATAATAATTACGATAAAGAATGTCAAATCATAAACGATCCGAGATAAAAATGATTCTTCCTTGATAGGTAATTTTTAATTCCTTTTATCTCTTGCTTTTTTTGATGTAGAAAATTTCAATTGTTTCTTCTACTACTCTCTCTACTAACAACTCGCATAACTTAATATCAAAACAACAAAAATATAAACTGAAATGGTTCCTATAAGCAGTGCTACTTGCAATATAAACCAAATCTAAATTTTTTGAAATTTGGAAATGGTTAAAATAAGCCATTTGAAGGATCTATTACATGTCTCATTATTGCATCGTGTATTTTGTCGTTTAGGTTCTAGCCTTGAGCCTAGGTATGACAATGAAAGTACTGTGGTCACTACATCCAATAACTAGTTGCATTATCTAGTTATTACTATTCGCGTTATAAATATGATGACGACTTTTATACCTTAAGACTTGCATAATGCGATCCGTTTCATTTAAAAGTACTTCAATGTTTAGAGTATGTATCAAACATACATTTGGTGCTACATTCCGAAGTACGTCGCCAATACCGCCTCCGTTCCGAAGACCCCAATTTAATGTTGTTAGGATACACATACGCAAGGTTTGACATGACCAAACTTTTAATTCCTCTTCTGAAAAAGTCAGTAAAACTCAATTCAGTAATAAGTCTGTTTATTTTCAGTATTAATAAATTTCATAATTTTGAAATATATTGGCAAAAGCTATATCTTTAAAATAGGAATTATAGTGAATATAAAATTTCGATAGAAAGGAAGTCTTGAAAGCATTTTTTCATGGGTAAAGTAACTGTAAATTAAATGATAATATCAAAAGGTATGGACTCACTATCGTCAATAGGCTGATTAGTCGCTAAGTTTTCCGCTAAGCACTTGTTTTCATTGATATAGTGCCTGAAAATGAAGGACGACGGACGAATACACTGCATGGAAGGAAAATTTTCATAGGCAATATTATCGTTTTCATTATCATCCAATCTATCAACTTCCAATTGAAAATCTGAAAAAGTTAAATGTAAAAAATACAAAGGTTTATTCATTCTCTTATTATTGTTTCGTCGAAATTATTGTTACCTGTGATCAGTAAAATGGTACCTTTCTGAAAATACAAATATCCAATGATTGAAAATAGATAAACAAGTATGACGGCTAGTAAACCAGTCATTATAACTGATCGCCAGTTTCGTGTTACAGATCGAATTACATTTCGCAAAGTCTCTTCACTTGCCACAATATCAAACAGCTGAAAAAGTTAGGTTTGTAACTTTCGAAAGGATGTTTCCAACAATTTGGAAAGTAACTTAAATTAAAAATGAGTAAGAAATTGAGATAGCTTTTGTTTTTCAAAACTGAAATTAAGTCATTATTTCAAAATACAGAAAAAGAGATGAATTTGTGTAGATTTATATAAAAAACTAGAATGACTGAGCACTGAAAATATAAGAAATTAAAAAACACTTACAAGTAAAGCATAAAAAAGCGGATGCACAATGAGGCCTTGAATACATATCAGCAAATATGCCAGGTGGTACCAAATACCATTATCTTGAAGTCGCTCAGGCCATGTTTTATCAATTAAACCACGATTTCCTATATAGCTCACTATATGGACTCCTTTATTAATCAACTGAAATTTGCTTTTCATTTTATTCTGATAATTTTTTTTCTACACTTCACTTTTCTTATTTTTCTTGAATTTGAAAACGATAAATACACTTTAAATGGGAATTATGAAAAATGATGGATTAATTTTATTTTATTTTGATTAATTTTATAATCTTGTATAGATTATAAAATTAATCCATTTTCAATATAGAAAATATGTAATTGGAAAAATTGAATACTTTAATCAATTCTCAATTAAATTGCAAGAATTTCTACCCAATTAATTAGAAACAAGCGCTATGAAATCTAGTTGAACGAATAGGAGAATCTTTGCCCTGTTTCAGGAAATTATGTAAAAATTCTAAGTACAATTTCATAATCTTACTAAGTGCGCTATATCGATTTTAGAAAATAATCTTAAAGTGTTCAAAACTTCAAGAGAAATCCAGTATTAACCAACCTGAAGTAAACCAACAACACGCAACGTCAACACTACTCCAATTACCGTAATAAATAAAATTGTAAAACTTGACATAATGGCAGCAAACGCCCAATAAATCTCATTGGTTCTTCCAAGCAAAGCTCTATAAATGTTTATCATTTTTATAGCTAAATTAAAATCAAATTGTTTTTATGAAAAATTTTGTTTTTACCAATATTTTTTAATTCCGCAAATTTGCACAATAAAACTTAAGGTTTTACAATAAATACTTTCCTGAACATGTTCAAATATTTAATGCTTACTTTTCACTCCACTGCATTCGCAAAAATAATAATGAT